ATAATTTTTTTTTTTTTTTTTTTTTTTTTTTTTTTTTTTTTTAGTATTGTGTCACAAAAATATCTATATTCTATATTCTATTATAATATAGAATATATTATAAAAATATGTAAAAAATGTGTAAATCTTAAGGATTTTAGTCAAATTTAAGAAGCTATTTTAAAGTTCTTATAATTTATGATTTTTCTATAAATATAATTAAAGTACGTGTAAATTCATTGAAATAAAAAAAATTAAATATAATGAAAAAATATTCCATTATAAAAATTATAATTCTCTTATGTAATTGCGTTTAAAAAAAATTGATAACAAGAATTATAATTGTTATTAGTCAATTTGCATAATATATTTTATTAATTAATTAACTTAAGAAACTGTTCTATTAATTTCATCATTAATGCTTGTGAAAAACAAATTTTAGTAAAATAAAAGTTTAAATCAATGATTATAATACAATAATAAATTGAATACTATCGTTTTAAAGAAGTAATATCATGACAATGTATGGATTATAGAAAAAAATTAATATTTGCAAAATGCACTACAATAAATGTTGTAAAGCCATTTAATTCTTACCGATAGTTATAAATTCGATGATATTAAATAATTAATTACGAGCACATGCATTTAATAAGTTCAATTATCATTTTTATAACGTAGTAATTTCTTTTATAAAATATACAATAACTAAATCATATTTCGAAATATATAACTCTGCTGACCGACTAAAAGTATCGATCAATTATTATTAGAGATAGAGTCAGTAACTGGATTTGAAGTGTTTTTTAGTTTTAGTTATTCATATATGAAAGCAAACAATATTAAAAGCGACAAGATAAAATATTTACATAGACAAACAATGGCGTGCGTATTGATATTTAAAAAAAATTATAATAATTATTATGATAATTTGTTTACTTTCTATTATTGTATTAAAATCATGTATGCACGCACTTGTATTCATTTGTATGTAAATTATTTGCTCGTATATTATTAAATTTTGGATTATTAAATATAAAAAAGTGTATCTTCATTCTCTTATCGATTGTTTCTTCAATACACTTCTTATACTATAATAATTTCAACAAATAAAATAGTTAAAATTCATAAGATATTTATGTGTAAGACTTTCATATAAATATATTTCTTATAAAGTATAGTACTTTATCATTCAAATTATCAACATTGCATTTGTATAGTAATTTATATAAAATATTTATCACGAATAATTTCTTTAAATTTTTAAAGATCGTAACAACTGAATATTACAAGCAATTTATTTTGAAATACGACAATAGTTTTGTTATAAAAGATACTTGTAGCTGTAAAAAGGTTTAGAAAGTCCTGAATGGATTTTATTTAATAAGGCATGAGCGGTTGGATTTTATTTAATAAGGCATGAGCGGTACTCTTTTGTGTATGGCATACAAATTGTTGAAGTATAACATAAAGTCGTGATAAGCGTTGAAATGAATTTAGGTTTGTAACCAATTTTAATCATTAAAATTTTCTGAAACGTAAAAGAGATTATATTATTTAAAAAAATATGTGTGTGTGTGTGTGCGCGCGCGCGCGCGCGCGTGTATGTGTATGTGTATTAATTGAGTTAAAGATAATTGAGAGGTGCTTATGAAATATCAATTGCAATATATATTATCTACAATTTGTCAAGATTAATATATCAATAAATGTTTTTTAACGCTTATTTACATAAAAAGTATGGAAATTTCACACAAATACAAGAACCATTTGAAATAAAATTATTTTAATAAATTTTAATAATTGTATATATATATATATATATAATTAAGAAAAGTTAATAACGATGTATCTTAATGTTTTAGCGTTTGTTTTGAATTTCAATTTTACGTACTTCTATTCAATATCTTATGAAATATGTGAAAAATTATTTATGGCTAATGCAAATGTTGCAGTAAGGAATATTAATTTTATTGAATAAGTATGAGTACATATCATAATATAGTTTATGCATTTTCAGATTTAATATAGAATAAGCTTTTGTAGGAAATTAAACAAAAAGAAATGTCTAATTTAATAAAATACTATGGGCAATTTTTGTAAATATTTTAATAATACGAACGAGGATAATTAAGGCATTTAGAGTTCAATGTTAAAAGTATTAATTCTTTTATATGTTTATTATTGTTTATTTAAAAATTTTAGGAAAGTAAAATTTATCTAATGAAAAATGCAATGGTGTTGTGATGCGTTAATAGGCAATCGGGGGATGAGATTTATTTGAAAAAAAAAAATCTAAAATAACAATGATTTGTGGATACTGTTTTGGATAAAATGGTTATTTTCCAATTATATTGTAAATTAGAAAACCTATCGAATGATCGTCAATCATTTGGTTGCTTCATTAACATTGAACGTTTAGCGGAAAAATGAGTAAAGATGGAGGCTTAGGAGAAAGTTCATTTACGCGAATCTCCGAAGATTATAAATAGTTCAAATAGTTCACATATATTTGTTATGTAATGTTTGTTTTAAAATAAGTTAATGGTGAAAAGGTTCGTGAAGTAAGTCCATCCAAGTAAATTGAAAGAAATTTAATGAATTTGGAAATTATAGAAAGAAATTGGAATGAATTTTTTTTTTCTATTTTTTTTTGTTTTTTTTTTTTTTTTTTTTTTATTTGAAAGATATTTATGTTACTCCGTTATATTATCAATATCATTTAAATAAGAAAATTAAGGATAAATTCATTTTCGACATGCGTATTATAAGTAGCTACAGTCTTTCAGTTTTAATCTGTAATAATATGAATGATTTAATCAGAAATTTAAGAGACGAAATTTGTGCTACATGAGATTTAATAGGAAAATCAGAAACTATAAGACATTTATGTATACTAAAACGAAAAATGGAATATAATATTAAATTAGATTTAAGAGAAGTGGAGTATAACCAAGAATCTTGGATGAATTTGGCACGGAATAGAGAGAAGTAGCGTTATTATGTCGATGAAGTGATAAAACTTTTAAAATCCAAATACCCGTTAACTATCAATAACAATAACAAGATAAATATTATTATTATTATTATTATTATACATAATTAAGTGATAATTTTTATTTTTTTTTCAACAAAATGATTTCATATCACTTTCTATAAGATTCTACACATCAGTATTTATGTGAGAAAATTCCTTTTAATATGAAATTACACAATTAACTATAGTTGATCCGAATTGAAAACGTTCAACTTCTCTTAGAATTTAATCGATGCGATTATTATATGAATTAAAAAAACAAAATATACATATATATATATATATATATATATATATAAAGATTCTATGCTTATTGAATCTTCAGAATTTTATAACATTAATACGTTTTGTATAAGTGTATGTATAAGTGTTTGCGCACTCGCGCAAACGTACACTCATTTACCGACCCACGCACTCACACCCACACGCCATTATTACATATTAAAAGTTTCAGAAATGATTGTACCATTATATTTTTCATTCTTTTTATTTTTTTCTTTCTTTTTATTAAATCAATCTCACATTATGGTGCGCTCGAGCCTTTAATAATGCAAATCAACATTTTCGTATTCTCTAAGTACGCAATTAATTATAATGTGAGAATGGCTAGTATGGCATTATTCGCCTAACGTTTCATTAATTAGCTCAATGTACAAATGAATGATTAATTTCATTAGAAGCCGGTATTCCCATGGAGTATCCTCTAAATGTATTCCCATAAAGGAATTCTCATACTATTGATCGCCGTGCCAAGTATCGAGCAAGTTTAGCGCGTTGACTTTATTCCCTCGACTTGTTATTGGCTTGCGAAATATCATTGCTGATCTAGTAATTTGGTTAATATTTTTTGGCGAAAACGATAGAACGATGATAGGATAAAATCAATCGTCGTGCGATTGCTTTTAAGCGACCTCCTCTTGAATGCGACTCGCCGAAGGTATGTGGGGGAATAATAAGTGGGTGAGTGGGTGGCGGCTCGTTACAATAGCGCAGAGCCACGGGTTTCCGCTGTTTACCGGCGATCGCCCTTGCCGCCTTCTCCCAAATCGTACGTTACTGAGTCCTCGTTCCAGGGGCAGCGGTGGTGATCGCCCCGGGGTAACCCCTCCCGCGCTGTCCGGGCCACTCGGCACTTTGTAAAATTCGGCCGTCGGTTTCGCGCAGACTCGCGCGCACAGCCGTGGACGTAGCCGCTCGTCGACGAGCTCGAGCTGCGAAAAAGACCAGGGAGCATCGCGGTGGATAGATAGGCCTTTGAAGCCCCAAGGCTTCCTCCCTCCCTCTCTATCTCTCTCTCTCTCTCTCTCTCTCTCTCTCTCAGGGCCTCCTCTCTCATCACGGTAAATTCCTTATTTTTCCTTTCTTTTTCGCCGAGTTATATTTAAATCGCCAGCGACGCACGAGCGGCGGCGGCTCTCTCCGCACCAGTCAGAGATGCTTTTGTGTCAAACTCGAGCGAATACTAATACCGCTGCCCCGTTCTCTTACAATATCCACTTGCACGCTCATTGTTTATTAAATTAATTGTTATTGATTGACTCCTCGCCGCCGAGCTGCCGCCCCACTCGACCAGTGCGAACCCTCCGACCAAGAGTGAAAAAAAAAAAAAAAAAAACTCTCTTCCCCAGTGCTTTATACATTCATTGATGTACGTTGCATATGCATAATAACAATGGCTGCTTTTTGTTATATATATTGGCTTTATTATCAGGGCGATACGAAGTATTTGCATCACTCGTTTGCTTTTACGCTAATTGAGAAATTCGCGAAATTTGCGTTAAACGGAGGCAAATCAATCGCCGCTTATCGATCATTTATTCGTCAGCGTATGCAATAGCTCTTGCATCGATCCCAGCATCTCTTACAATTATATCACAACTTTTTCATAAATCATCACTTCCTTTCGTTCTTTCATTCTCCCATTCTCTCGTCGCTTACCTACTTTCTTTCCTTATTTTCGTTTCTTTTTTATTTTTTTAACCAGACAATGGCAACCACGGTAAATAGACCACGAACGATCAAGAAGCTAGAGAAACCTCGGCCGCTGAAAATTAGCCTGCGCAGCCCAACGACCGACACGCGGATTACGAATGGTACGTTTAACATTTTGTTTTCACTTAAAGTCACCGCCCCTGCTACTTCAATTTATCATATTATTTGTCTATGCATTTAATTCAGTCGACGACATCGTGTCATTGATCGACAATGTCGCTACGCACCTCAATAGCGGATTTTATGATCAGCTATTACAGACTAATATCGTGACAATGTGCAATCATCTGAAACTCTTCTCCCATCAATTGGAAATGATTTATAAAGGTCGGTACTTATCTTATTTCAATTTCCACATTATGCTTAATAAAATCGTAGATAAAAAAAAAAATAAAAAAAATATTACTTTACTTTTTAAATGCCCTTGCAATTGTGTAATTGCGAATGTAGCCATTTTATTTATATATCGTAAGAGTTCGTTACGATCTAACGCTTTGTGTTTTCAATATAGATCAGCTGGATAGAGCATTTATAGCTATTAGAAATGGCAGTCAAGACGAGAGACTGGATATGACGACCAGAGTTCACTTGCTCGAATTAATTGAATTAAGAGCCAAACAATGGCATCATAACGAGTCCATGAACGCCTATTATTCACAAAAGTTCTCAAACTTGGATAACGTGAGTATAAGAAGGATAATTAACGATGGCGTAAGGAGTAAACGTAAAGTTATCATATCTATGAACGAACGCTCTCTTTTTTAGCAAAATGATTTGCTTACGCCGGATACGCCTACGAATTTGCTGACCCCATCCTTAATTGCCATGAATTCGGTAACATCGCCGCCTCTGCTTGGACCTGGTGAGGTGATAAAAAACAGCGGGAAATTTGCAAAGCCAACTCGCATTCCAGGAAAAAATTACTGCAAGGATGAAGTAGTCATTCGTAATAGTGATTCTGGAAAAGGTAAAATAAAGTAATTGAACATATGAGATTTCATTATTAAAAGGAAATTTTTTTTTATTATATATATATATATATATATATATATATAAACGCATAAGTATTACAATATATTTATAATTAAAAATAATTTATACAAACCTTATTTCTTTAAGTTTTTATTATTTTTTTTTTTACATATTAAAAATTGAAAGGGGCAAATATGGTAAATAATTGTTTAGGTTGCAAAGGTTTTCACTTATTTAAAATAAAATTTGCACAAACATATAGTGATGGGAATAAAGGGGCGGCGAGTTCACATGATTGAAGAACTCAGCGAGACAATCATCTCCTTCCAGAGAGGTAAAGTGATAAAAAAAAAAAAAAAAAAAAAAAAAAAAAAAAAAAGGCGTGCAAGAAAAGCTTGTGTTGAAATAAAATCCATGCAATGGCTCGATCTTATTAATCAAATAATTAGTCCAGCATCGATAACAAGCTATTTGAATTATAAATAATAATGTTAATAATGAAAATTTGCTAATAATGCACGGTAATACCTAAACCTTCTTGTCATTCGAATAAAAATTTAACAATTCTACTATTAACAGAGGACGTTGAATAACTTTTTGTCAAACGAATTTTGTTATCGTTGCTTAAATTAATATTTTTCTCGAAATAAAAATCAAATTAATGTATTTTTTAATCTTATTTTGAGATATTAAGAACAATTTTATGAGGACACGATTTCTTATTTTTATTTACTCGTTATAACGTTTAACAACAATACTCATTGAGATAGAATAATTGTTCAAATACTTGTGTAATTTTTGCAAAATACCTTTACCTATACATTTTGCAAATAATATAATAATAATAATAATAATAATAATAATTGTTATAATAATAATAATAGTAATAATAATAATAATAATTTAATAATAATTGTTGGATATTAATCACAATATTAATGTTATATCTCTTACTCGAAGCATGATGCGCTAAATATCAATTTACATAATATCAAACTAAATACCTACTAAATACCAAAAATACACATCTTCCTAATGATACTTAAATTATTACTATATTATAATATTTTTTAACTTCTGATAATATTGCATTTTCATAAATATTGTCAATGTGTATGTTGTTGCGTGTGTGTGAGCGTGTGTGTTTATCTGTTTGTTTGCGTGTCTTTTTTATAAGCATTGAAAATGAAACTGAATTGTTACACAAGAATTTTCCAACGATACTATTTTTGGAAACATAGTAAAACAATTTAATTTGATTTGAAAATAGAAATTTTATTAACAAAAAAAAAAAACAAAAAAAAAAACCAAAAAAAAAACAAAAACAAAAAAAAGCATGTCGCATTTAAAAACAAATTTTTATGATTTGCAGCTCACCTACAAATAAATTTCATAAATTGAAGTAGTAAATTTGTGATTAATAACATTCGAAATTGAATTTAAAATATGTCGAATTATAAATTGAATGTTGAAGCTTTTATTAATTTTAGTGAATCCTGGTGCGAAAGAACGACTTGTCCAAATCACAGGTACTTCCGAGGACAAAATATAGTAAGCGTCATATTACTTTATTCATCTACCCGAAGCTATAAATCCTTTATTAATATAGATATGTTGCAGTTATGCCAAGGATTTAATAAAAGACACGATTCAACGAAACGCATCACCCGTAAGACTCGAACAAGGTGGACGAGAAAAAAGTGGTATAGGTGGATCAAGCTCCTCCTTAAACAGCAGCGCTTCTGATGAAAGTAACAGACTACATCAACATCAACAATCGTCATTGCGATCGTCTCTCCTTCATAATCTGTCCACCAACGACGCAAGTATTGGTGAATACAAATACACTGTCACCGTTGGTCCACATTCTTTAAAAATTACAGGCAGTAATTTAGATCTTGTTAGGGTGGGTATTATGACAATTTATAACATGTATTTAAAACATTTCATTTTTTATTTTATTTTTTTTTTTTTTCGTTTTGTTTTGAGTTTTCATTTGATTTTTGTCATTGCTACACCGTCGAATTGTGCTTTTCATTACTCTTTGTAAAGTGAAAATTTTCAATTACAAAAAAACATGTTTAATAATTGCAGAAACTCCTTACTACTCGATTAAAAGAATGTTTTTCTTTCTCTCTCTTTTCTAATTTAAAACAAGCTATGTGTATTGTATATAATGAAATATTTTATATTCGTTTATTATTTGTATATTATAAAGTATTAGGCGTGGAGAAATGTTAATGCGCAAGGTTATTGATTCGCATTTCACTCGCTTACTAAGCCATCGTAGCCGATGAATAAATCAATAAACTAATTATTAATCCTTAATATTGCACTTGCATTTTACCACTTGTTATGCGCTTTCATTATAAAAAGAATATATTTATGTAAAAATTAAATATTATCGAATACAATATTTTCACAACTTGGTGTAAACAATTTTGTTACAGGCTGCAAAGTTAGCTTTGGATGAATATTTTTCAGAAGAATCCGAGCACACTGGTAGTGGCGTCGAATATTTTACATTCGACGAGGAATCACTTGCTTCCGGCGCTTCGGTTATGCCAAACACACCTCTGTCTGCCGGTCAGGCAAGTCTTTTACGAAGAAATTTGAGCTATGATAGTGGCACTACGTCGGACATTGATAAATCAAAAGAGCTAGCTATTCCGGAAATAGAACCGAAAAAAATTGGTAAGTATTCATTGAGGAATTCGATAAGAGGCTTTTTATTTAAACATTTGACGGCTCATTTGTTTTTCTTGCCAAATAATTTAACGATCGATTCGACTTAATGCATGGAAAAGTAATTTCTTATTAATATTTATTCGTAAACTGTACTTTTCAATCTCTGAAAAAGTGAAAAAAGTTTTACGATAAATTGAACTTTCACGGAAGTAACAGATTAATAATAAAATGAAGAAAAAAATAAAATAAAATGGCTTAACCGAATGAATACATATGCAAACAAAATGTCAAGTGATCTTGTTGTGTTATTAATCAATATTATTAATGTTAGCATAACAGAAGCAATGTAAGAGAATTTTTCCATTGTTCTGATTAATTAATTTTTTTTTTTTTTTTTTCATCTTTATATATTGTAAAAATTCACAGGGATAAGGATTTATACTCGATTATTTATTTCTTTAATCATCAGAGATACATTAATCAATTTAAAGCGTTTAATAGGTAGAAAAAGGCACTTAAAAAAAATAATAATATTATTTTTTTTTTTTTTTTTTTTTTTTTTTTTTTTTTTTATAAACTTTTTTATAACTTCGCTAGCTAAAGTTAATTTTCAACGATCAAATGTATTAAAAAATTAAGACTTAATCTTGAAAATTCGCACATACCTTCGCTACTAATCATTATTTATATAATCAATGATCTATACATAACAATAATAGTTATAGTATTTTTTTCTCTTCTTCATTTCTTAGTGAAAATTTAAAATTTGTTTTATCTTAAGAGGTCTAGTCTAATTGTGCCATCCATTTAATGTTTATTCGAGAATTATCTAATCATTATTTTCATTTAGAGTTTTATTTAGAATTGAAATTCATGTGTGCAAAGAATTAATAAAGCCTATATAAACTTTCGTTCTATAATCGAATTCTATATTAATTATATACAATGTTTATTACATTGTAATAGAGCATGTAATATGCAATTACATATGTAATCGAATTTACATACATTCTAATTTCTAACTTCATTACTAAGTTCTCAACTATTTATTCATCGATGTCGAAAGTGTTAGTAAATAGGGTTACAATTGCAATCAATATAATTACGATTTTTTTTTCTTTTATTATCTTTATTTTCTTATTATCATTAGTTTTAGCAACGTTAGTTGTTCTTCCAATCCTTTAAAAATATGCTCTCATAATATTTTTATTAATATTGTTCTTTGATCGTTCTTGTCATAGTTACCAATATGCTTTGCGCTGTTGTTTATTTAATTGGATTATTTAGGACAAATTTTTATAATGTGATATTTTTTTTTATAATTTTATATACATGTTTTATATACATATTTTAAATTTTCTTTAAAGTCATTGAAATATTATTAACGAATTATTAATAAAAATTAATGTAAATAATTTTTTTTATTTACACAATCATTTATGATAGTTTCCACTCATAAACTTTTCGTGCTTATTTGTATTTTTCATACAGTCTTATGAACTTCATAATAATGCTTTCATATTTCTTATTATCGTTCCTTCCCTACATTTTCTTGCATTCCTATAATGCGTCATTGTAAATAATTATCATAATCCATTATTCTAATTTCAAGGTAATGTAAGCGTTTGATAAGTATTTCATAACAATAATACTACATACTCAAATATAAATGGATTTTGATAGAATGTAACAATACAAATTATTTAACCAATTGTTTTTTCGATCAATTTACTTTTGAATATAAATATAAATTGTTTTTAATATAAAAATTGAATTGTAATAAATATAAAGTTGAACATAAAAATTGTGTTAAAAAAACATAAAAATTGTTTAAATTAATAATCGCTGAAGCTGGACGTTTAATGATTATTAAATTTTTATATTGATTGAATTGATTATATTTATATTTTTTTCAAGATTAATATAAATCTATAAATTTTTAAGTTTTTTAATTTGAAAAATTTAAATGTTGTCATTTTTCTTTTAATATTACTATGAGCCATGTATCAATGGTATAATAATAAATAATTATTATTAATCGTGCGAACTCAATGATACGGTAAACTTATATCTACTCTATGACTAATTTCATTACTGTTGAATTAAATTTTGAAGTAATTTTAATGAGTAACTCAAAGTTTAAAAACATAAAGCATTTTATAAATTTATAAAAACAGATTGTGATTATATTTTAATATGTAAAATACTATTAATATGTAAAAATATATGCTTTTCAATACTTTATAAATTGTAAATTGATTTGTTCGTGACTTTAATCTAATTCAAAAGTAATACTACGAATGCTAAATAGCAAGAAAACACAAATGAAATTATCACTATTTAATATAAATACGTGATAATCATATGCATTATTGAAAACAAATTTTTAAAAGTTCAAAAATATTTTATATTAAAAAAATACGGCGATCGCCCTTTTTTTTTTTTTTTTTTTTTTTTTTTTTTTAAAAATTTTAATATATTAGTATTTCATTTACATTAGACTAAGATATATTTTTAGTTCTTTGTAAGATATTTCACATAATTTACATACTTCAATCTATGGTTAATTCTAGAAAAATGTATTAAACTAATATTTAAGAATATGTTCAGGAATATGCGTGTGAAATATAAAATATGTAAATACTTTAACAATTTTGACGTTGTATTGAAAATATAGAATACTTTCATTTCTTTAAGATGTAAATATTTAAAAATTATCTTTCTTTCTTCTTGTCTTTTTTTTTGTAATTATTTAAAAAAAAAAAAAAAAAAAAAAAAAAAAAAAATTAATTTTTTGTTACAGTTTTTTTAATAAAAATAAAAATTTATAAAATTATAGTTACAAATAATTTATATTTACCTAGTTATTAAATTCCGAGACAATTTATAATTATTTAGATTATTTGGTAATTGTTTAGTATATATAATTGTAGTCAATAATTACACAAATGAGGAATTAGTAAAAGCAATGTATTTTTAATTTATATCATTGCTTAAACGAGATATATACAAAAGATTAAGTTTTAATTACTTACGTACAAGAGCTTTACTTCTATCTAATTAATAATAAATGAATAAATTTGTAATTGCGTGTGCATATGCAATTGGTATGATTTCTTTTTAAAACTCGCATGTGCGTGTCCTAATGTTATAGAGTCATCGAGGGAGCTTTCGTATGAATTTCTGATGCAATGTGCAAAGGGCCCATTTGCCAAGCGGCCTCCACCTGATTGGGAACGTATACAGAAAGAAAGTCCCAATATTGTTCGTAAGGTATATAATGTCAAATTCGACAATAATACTAAGAAAATTACTTTAAAAGACAAAACTAATAATATGAATTATATTCAAATGCACGTTAGCTTTTATTAATAAGAAAATCACATGCTCTTAAAGTAATGTTTTCCCATCTATAACACAAGAGACTATTCGAGCAATTATAATATTTTAATTAAAATTTTGTAATTTCGATTAAACGTACTTTGAAAGAAAAAAAAAAAAAAAATAATTATTTTAGTCCAAAGTAAGTATTCGATATTATTTTTATTATTACCTTATTTTAATAAACAATAAACAATAGATTATTTGATGATTAAGAGAAAAGTTAAAAAATATAAATAATATTAATACGTATTATAATATTTATTATTCATTAGATGAATCAATGCTTATCTTATAATTTTTCCTGTTACACAATTGTTGCATAGTTTCTAATATCCAAACATCAGTTTAAATATTGAATTTCTTTTATTGTAATGTACTTTTTATATTGTATTAATGTATTATGACTTGTTTAAACTTTTTTTTTTTTTTTTATTTTTTAAAATAACACAAAATATTATTTAGTTAACTAACAAGTTTGCATTTGATATCTCATTTCAGCTCTGATCTATATCTTCTATTTTAAATTAACGCGCGCTACTATAACAATTCACTAATACGGTCGTTGTATGTTATTTGTCCTTATTACATTTAAACACTCGTTAAAAATCATTTTAACTAATATGATAATCTGCATTTAAAGCATGCTGCTGCTTCTAAGGATACAACAAGGTAAGAGAAAAAGTATGAATAAACATCATATTCTCCTTCTTTCTGACTTTTAATTTAATACGGCATTAGGAATTTTCATGCAATGAAAAGAAAAACGTTAAAAATTACTTTTCTACTTAAATAGGTACCGATTCGCTGGTTCGAACCGGAAGCATACAAAACAAAAGTAGCATCAACGGGTTCCGTTACGGTGATATCAGCAGGTGAATTGTTGGAAAACGATCCTGAATAAAATTTTTACGAAGAATTTTCGTAGAGAAATAATACGAGTAAAAGTAAGTATCGTTGTACTTATGTAAAAATATTATATTAAAAAATTCCGATCCACGTAAATAAAAATTTATTTAAAACTTTGTGAAATTAATTATTTACGTGACAATTATTAAGGATGTAATGATGAAAAAAACAAAACAAAAAAAAAAAAACAAAAAATTTTATATCATTGAATAATTTGCTTAAAATTGGCCAGAAATAATAATTAAATAAAGTACTATCATCCGTGTGTTATAGGTAATATAAGGATTTTGATTATTAAAATATATTGTCAGATTTTCCGTTCACTCTATACTAATAAATCCTGAATATTGATTTTAAAAAATGTACGTAAGCATATAATTTGCAATTTAAATTTATTCTAAAAACACAAATTAAAAAATTTCTATGTGCGCATGTGCGCGCGCTCGACCGTTTGTGTGCGTGCGTGCGTGTATGTGTATAAACACACATGTTTATAAATTTTTGTTATTAGAAATAATTTGTTTTTTCAGAACTAACTTTTGGTCATGAAAAAGTTAATCAAGAAAGCTTCAAAAGGATATTCATATATGCCATTTGCGAAGTACGAAATCATCTTAATTTTTTACGTGGTTTATGGTAAAAATTGTCAGAACTATATCATTCTGTAAATAAAATCTACAGAAAATTGAGAACTAATCTATATGAAATGTACGTGACACTTAATGTGTAAAGCTGGTTGTAATTTTTATTCACTTTTAATTTTTCAATGCAAAATTCGCGAGTAGAGCATATTAAATTAATATTTTAAACGCTATTTTTAAAGGGCTGCGGATTTAAAATTATAAATCTTTGAGCTCAGTTGAAAATAGAAAAACCGCAAGTTAGTGTTTAGTCTAGTCTAATTTTTATTTTTTCTTCTTTTTTTTTTTTTTTTTTTTTTTTTTTTAACTCAACTAAATCTCGTTCTAGAGTAATATCAGAAAAATAAGAATTATTTTATATTTTATATACTGTTAAAATTAAATATTATAACTTTTAACTTCTTGCTTTGATAAATGAATTTTAAGAAACGGATGAAATCACGTTGCATAGTGATCATGTTTTCAAAGATCATTGAAGCTTTTTATTAAAGAAAAATTTGTATTACGTGAGCAATTTATTTATCCGTTACAAAACAGGGAAAAAGTAGCGAATCTCCGTGATAATTTTAGATGTCATTTTATGTTATTGTCATCGATAATAGTTTTTAAGACATTTAATTTGGCTATGTATGTATGATAATGTGTTATTGTTATTAATCTTGTAGATTTTTTTTTTTTTTTTTTTTTTATGCAGTAGATTAAACAAACATTAGCGAGTAAATAAATTAACCAGAGGTCTTTTATGTAATAAAAAGTAAAACACTTTTGTATGCTGTAAACAAAGACACAACTAAGAAAATTATTAAAAAGAAATCTAGTCTAAAAATGATTTGTAATTTTATTGCTTAACGTTTAATCGTCTTATTTATTATTGTTAATTAACATTTAATAATTAAATTGCTTTATCGGCGAAAATTTATATCAGGCTTATAAATGTTTAAAGAATGTCATTATTGTACTATAAAGTTTAATTAGCTACATTAATAAGATAAAAATCTTATTGAAGTAAGCAATTAAATTATTATGATTATCGTTAACTATAATTTAATATTATTTAAAATTATATCTTGCTATTTAACATAATTTTGTTAAATTATTCTTCATACTTACAATCTTTATAAATAATTTAACTTAAAAAAAAAAAAAATCATTCTGTTATAATTGAAATAGTAACGATGATGCATCGTCTTAATTACATTATTTTCAAGTATATAATTAAGCAGTAATATTATTTTAAAAATCAACTATTTAGTTCAATATTATCCCAAGTTATTCGCCATTTTTAAATTTTCGTAAAGTTAATTTTTTGCTTTCATTAAAATACATGGCTCAGTGCATTAAAGATTAATGAGAATAAGACCGATGTATTTTCCAAAATAGATAAAGATTTTTTTTCTCTTCAATTATCGATGATTTTATAAACACTTTTGTAAAAAAAAAAAAAAAGTTTTCTTTTTTCTTTAAAAAATTAACATTTTTTTTAATATTCATCTGTTTTTGTTAATAAATAACGTATAGTTGACAAATATAGATATAATTTTATTTGACCCATGCATTAATGGCTAGTGTCATTAGCATATGATATATATGTATGTGTATATACGTTTATTTTTTTAAATAACTTTGAAAATAAATATTTTATTTTATATACATGACGTAATATAAGTGAAAATCTACTTATTTACGATTTGATTGATAATCTTTTATTTTTATTTAAAACAATCTTAACGTTTAAAATTAGAAAAAATTTTTTAATCGTCTTAAACAGATGAAAAAAATATTTCATTAGAAATACAAAAGTTTGTAATGAGTCTCTGGTTTTGGTAATAACCGAGGAACTTCTTTCTAATTCTTCACATAAAAAATATTCAATTTTTCACAACGTTCTGTATTCGCATCAAAAATTAATTCGGAAATAATTTCATTTGCCGTACACTGTATAAGTTATGTATGTGTTAAAGAAAAAGAGAGAAAAAAAAAAAAAAAAAAAAAAAAAATTTAAACACGCTAGTTTATATATTAATCATTATCAATGTATTTGTAAGTCATAATATTTATAATATCGATATCTATCGTATAAAGACATATCAAATTTAAGTATAAGGCACGGCTGATTTTGTTTTTATAATCAATGTTCGATTTCATAATGCAATGGGTGATGTGCATCTCATTAGCATTTTTTTTTTTTTTTTTTTTTTTTTTTTTTTATAAATATGACTATACATTAAGTAAGTAATAACTAAATTATTTACTATATACACGATGATTAAATTATTGAAAGTGTAATGTGCAAATTCGCAAGTATAGAAAAAAAAAACCGTTGCATTCGAACTTTATTAAAAAATTGTACCACTTTAAATTTACTACATTGAATTTTAAAAATGTAAAAGTTCTAGACTCGGCAAAGTTTTAACATAACACTTTATTCAGAATTGGCAACTATGGGTATCAAATTTCAATACAATTCCCAGAAAAATAATATAAAAATAAAATGCTGAATTTATGTATTTTATTTTAACTTTACTTTTGTTTGCTTTTGTTTAAAAAATTTCACTCGATGTCTTTTTAATTTGTTATATGCTGAAAATTTGTAAAATAAAATAATAAATCATTATACGAATAAACAGATTGCAATGTACAATCAATGATCTTTTCTTTTTCTGTTTTTTTTTTTTTGTTTTTTTTTGTTTTTGTTTTGGCCTAATATTAATTTTTATTATAATATTAATTAATAGGGTATCTTATATGTATCTTTGTTTAACATTAAAATTGTAGTATAACTAGTAATATTATAATTACTATTATTAATATGCGATATGTCGTAGTCGGTATTTTTCATTGATCAATAATATTTGTATTTATAAAACAATGTTGGATAATCAAGATAAAGGTGTGTAACGAGCGAGAAGTTAAATATTATTAATATATATATATATATATATATATATATATATATATATATATCTAAATTGATTCGAGTATATTAATTTTGTAATTATATAGCTGATAAAAAAAAATAAAAAAAAAAAAAAAATATTAAAAATATAATATTGCTAATAAAGTTTATTTTAATAATCTTTCACGCGTTAATTCTCTTCATATAAATTCTGTTTCAAAAAGAAGGATATTCTCCTTGGCCGTAAAGAATGAATTAGCAATTTATTGATGCAATGTAAGGGCTTTATTTGCTTAAATGGATAGAAAAAAATTAACGCTTACGTCGCTTCTTAAGAGGAATATAACGAAAGGTAGTCAGCTTTTAAAATTTTGCAAACACTCTCACCTCGTTAAAGGCTTTCACATATTTAAAGAAGATAAAACAAGCTCTAAAAAAAGTTGTAATTTAATTTTTCGCTCTAGAATATACAATATTAAGCATATATTTTAATATTGTTGTCTCACTTTTAATGCTGACAGTTCATGTATGCTCGGGCTGGCTCCTTTTTCTACTCAAATATTTCATACCAGGACTTAGTCAGCATTAAACGATGCTCAGTTGTTAATTAATTTAGTGAATCGGTGAATATTTTTATAATATAACTGAGCATTAATAATCGAACGATAAAGAAATAATAGGGAAAAGGGAAAAAAAAATTTATTCATATTCAAAAATAATTGGCAGAATATTTCGATGCGTTCGGTTGAGAGTAATAAATTTATCTTGAAAAGAAGGTGGAAAACTTTTCCGAGTAAGTGAAGAAGCAAATGAAGATCGAATTCTAATATCCATCGACACATCCATCGATAGATGTGTAGAAATATGATTGACAATAAGTGTTCGATTACATACAGTAATTAATCGCGTATTAGTTGATAAAAATAATTGTGAATAATAATAATTAAACGAACATAGAGTAAAAATAATCATGGTAAAAACTTACTTTTTATTTTTCTCCTTGTTGGATACTTCACAATATTTTATTTTACACGTTTTGTTGCGGAGATATAATTAATATAATGTCCAAAATGATTGACATCCGTATTCGATTATTATAAGTCGTGTATACCGCATTGAAACATACAAACGTCGCAGGATATCGATCGAGATTTAATAAATCATATATAAAAATCCGTGTAAAAAACAAATGGCTCAATTAATCGCAATAGTTACAAGGATATATTGGTGTTCCTCTTTAATCTTTGAGGAATTTCAATGACTATGATTCGTAGTCTGTCTTTTCTAATCGATGATTTGTAAGTGAGATAGTGATTCGTCAAAGGATGTTTTTTTTTCCCCGGATTAATTTATTCTTGTACATGTATAATTATACAGAGAAATGTCCAGTACATTCGGTTATTCTTCCAAGCGCACGACAAGTTATTGTCGTGCGGGCATATTTTTTTGTTTTTTTTTTTGTTTTTTTTTTGTTTTTGTTTTTTGTTTTTTGTTTTTGTTTATCTTTTCATGGCTCCTCTAATCTAAGTATGATGATAAATGCTGATCGTTAGTTATTAAGTATATAATAGAAAAGATTTAAGCTTTCTTAAACCTAAACGTATGGAAAACAGATAGTATGATCGCTTTATGAATTATCTCAATGTTATATATGTGTACTCATTATTTTTTCCATTTCCGGTTACCTAACGAATAAATACATTTTTTAGAAAAATGTAGTTATATGAAGATAAATATTCGAACTTTAGATGCATAGAAAGAGCTCGTTATTACCTTTCGTAACTCTTTTCATTGTGTGTATTTTGCTCTTAATACATCATTTTCTTGAGTTAAGGCGCATACTGTATTGTTGTTGTTGTTGTTGTTTTTTTTTTATAATTTTTTATATTTCTAATTATCTATTAAATTATAACCTTAGCCTAGCGAAATATACTCCACATATGATAATTACAATTAGCGAAAAAGAAAGTTAAGAAATAAATTACTTACTTTATTATTAATATGAAATCGAGTATTGTTCACTATGATAAGGCTAAATACTTTATTGGATTTATAATAACACTAAGAACAAGAGATAGTGAAGTAGCATTATACACACACACGCACGCACATACGTTCACCCGCCCCCCCCCCCCCTATATATAGTATGCGTTTGTGCGTGTGCGTGTATATAATGCAGATGTGATTTAATATAATATAATCTTAAAGCCTAATAATTTATAAAATTATAGTATTAGAAAGGTCGATATTACAATAGTAATAACACATTCGGTTTCAGTTTTTAATTAAATTCAAATCAAATATTCTGATTGATTTCGATGTTTAAACCGGACACTTTTAATGTTTATATAGTATAAGTAAAATTGAAAATATTTTGTTTTACGAAAAATATTTTATAATATTACGTATATATTTTTGTGCATCTTTAAGGAGTCGAATTTCAAACTTTTATATCTTATATTTGCTAAAATATTTTATTAAAAATAAGGCAATAATGCAAAGACTCGTTTGGGAAATCGCTCTCGTTTACGAGTAAATTCATAAAATAATCCATTGATATTCCAAAATGAACAATGTTGAAAAATAGAAGTTAACATTTATTGCTAACTATATTAGGACAATTATCTAGATAATATATAACACTGTTATAGCGTATTAATGCGTGCAATTATCTTTATTCACTTTCATTTATATCATTAATACAACCGATACAAATAAAAAATATAAATTCGATAAAAATTACTTCCGTGTGTATGGCTGGATATTGTATTGTTAACTTGTCAAAAGTTCAATTTCCTAGCAGTGATATTGTTAAAATTTTTTTATTAAACTTACAATTATTTCTACTAAGCTAGACAGTCTGATGTGCACCACAATTCCAGTATTATACATTATCTAGATAATTAAAGTTGCCTCGTTTCATTATCTCATTATTACAGGATAATTTATTGTATACAATACTTTTTTTTTTTACTTCTTTATAAATTCAACATCTATCTCTCCGCAATGAAAATTATTTACAATTTATACTGCAAGTTCAATTTCATATGCACAATATCTTTAAGGTTTGCTCTGTATTTCTAGTTGATAAATTATTGCAAAATTTCCATAATAAATAAAATAATGGTCTCAATAAATGACTTGTCACACTTTTTCAAATAGTGTCAAAATTTATTGGAGAAAATACTTTATTTTTATCAAAGCATAACACAGGTGAGTATAAATATAAGCATACATGAACAGTATTCTAAATTGATACATCAGTATGTTAAAAAAATTGCATAATAACTTACTTTTATACAAGAGTTACATTAATAAGTAGTTACATTTATAACTAAAAACTTTATAAATAAAACCATTAGGAAGTGCTAAATTTATAGAATAATTGTCAAGCTTCTTATTGTAAAAAAGAAAAGATAATATGTAGTTATAGTATATATGAAGAAAAAAAACAAAAAAAAAAAAAAAACAAAACAAAACAAAACAAAAATGCGATCATTGATGTTAAATAAACTAAAAAATGAAACTTATGAAGTTATTAAAAAAGTTATTTAATTATTGAGCTTTTGACAAGTAAATTCTATTATACTTTATAAGATTTATAGGATGTTTACTTAGACTAGATATTTATATAAATGTATACAGTGCTACATAAATTATCATTCACGAAGTATTTACTATTATTATTTCATGAACTGATATATTGTTTAATTCTATATACTGATATTTTTCTATAAAAAATAAAAGAACCTACATATTGAATTTTTATCACCAAAAGCCTACTGTTGCTTTTTAAAGTATTATATCTTCCAACCAATTTATGAATTCATAGCAATTTCTTTGCTACATTTAAAATGTATAAGATAAATTATCTATACGTAATACTATAGATAATTTATATATAGCAATTTTAAATTCTATGTATACATTATATTATCTACATTATAGCGAGAATAAAAACAATTTGGCGTCCGCAAAATTTAATTAATTTGAATGATACAGAATACGTTTCTACAGGTACAAAGTTGATCTTTCTTTTTCTTTTCTCAATAATGTGATAAGTTTAAAAAGGCAGTACCTCAAAATATATCATATTGTACCAATATATAAAACTTTCCATTAGCCACTAATTTGTAATCAAACGAAAATTAAATACATTGAATATAAGAAAATAATACTTTGCACTCTTGTATCTAAAACATTTCATTACTCTGTATTGTGCTACCAAATTTAAAAAAATAAATCTGTAGGAACATTTATTTTTCAAACATACATTGCATTTCCTTGTATTACTTATTTTTTAATAAAAACTATAATAAATGACAGTTTTCAATAATTAAGTAACTTGATGAAAGCATTTAGAAGTGAGCAATTGTTATGCAAAAACTTTGCATTCATCGACACTTTGTTTTATAATAGAAAATTTATTAATCGTCATTTATTGGGGCAATTATAAGTTTATATTTATCTATATTAATTGTGTTTTCTAAAAATTTACTATACATTTTTTTCTTTAAAATCAGTGCATTCCTTAAAAGAATTCAAAAAAAAAAAAAAAAAGATAAATTCACATTGTTTTCACTGCAGAGATTTCATTACATAATCAAAATAGGTTGAGTTATTAAAAGCCATTAACATCAATTTACAGACTCAAACCATAAAATCATCGCCTATCTATTTATACCATTGAATATTAATTTTCGTCAATTACAAAAAAATTAAATCATCCTTTACAAGAGGTGTTCGAAAATTATCTTAAAAACATTAAGATAACATAAGACGTATCTAACATTATTTTATCTAGACAATTAACTAGATTTTCTCTCTCAATATTTCTAGACAATTATCTTGAAATCAATTATCTAGACAATATACAACATTTACTCACGCACGCAAATTTTAGTTACGAAAAACTCATATTATTCTAGACATTTCCACAATTAAAGTAAAATTGACTAAAGAGATAAATCGCACTGTTACATATCATTGAGATTCACAGGGTTAAAAGACGTAGTCAGCACCAGCCATATCTATTGCCCATCGGAATTTGTCTCTTTGTGTTTTATTATAAATTTTCTCAATCGGCACATCGTGTTTCTTACACCTACAAATGCAACAATTGTCGAATATTAATTTTACAATGACTATTATAATCAATAACAATGACAAAAATTATATTTACCATGCAGCCGAAATACGTGGATCGAGATAATTTAGCTTACTAGTACCAAGTGCGATTTCTTTATTTTCTTCTTTATCGGTAGCTTGAACCTCCAATTTTGTTAATTGCTCTCTCAATCGTTCGAGCTGTTTCTTTTTTTTCTCATATAAACTGAAACGTACGAGAAAATTAATTATAATAATTAAAATTTCTCAAGCTCAAGAAATAATAAATTACATACACTTTTTCTTTAACAGAACCATTCTTTGCATCACGTTTAGCATCAATAACAGCTGCTTCTGCATCTGATACGGCATCTCTTTTAGCGTCAATTTTGGATTTTAAATTTTCCATAGATTTTTCATGAGTTTTTGGAACTGAACGTTGATGGTTACACAATATTGCAACAGCTCTGTTAGCTCTGTTATAGGAAAGTATCTTTTCTGCTACTGTATCGTCAGGGTTCGTAAGTTTTTCTAGCTGTTGCTGTAGCGTCCATGATGCATTATATGTTCTGAACACTTTAGCTGTAAGGCCCTCCATCAATTCATTCAAATGTTTATTCATTACTGTGGTATTGAGACGATCAAAAAGTTCATCTCCAGGTGATTTATTATCCATGAAAAGTTGAAGGCTCTTGAATACACGTTTCTCCACTGGAACCTCGTTATAATATCGGATCGAATCCTTACCTAATATAAATAAATACAATAATTTATAGAATAAAAATATAATAAAAATATTATACGCACAATACACACACGCACGTGCGATACGTACCCAAGAAATCGAACACAACTACATATTCTTTATCATCTTTTTGTTCGTGTAAAGTAATGTGCTCTACACGCAAAGAACAGCAACCAACTGTATCAGCTTGATCCTCATCTTTCTCGTTACCAGCTCTGAGAGCAAGTTTATCAATAAAATATAATGCAACAGCCCTTTGCCTAATACGCATTTCTTTACTTTTCCAGTCTTCTCGATATGTTGCTCTAATTTTATCTACAGATTTTGCAAGTTTTCTAGCAGTCTCATATTTTTGCCAATCCTTCTCACCTTTCAATTTACTCGAAGGGTTTAACATGACATATTTAACTTGTCCTTGGACATTCTCAGTCCAAGATGCTAGCCAAGTTACTGTAGGATCGTGTCTAATCTCTTTCCACCTACGACCGTTTGGAGCTTTGGGGAAACTCGAATCTTTAGAACAATTAATTAGTACATCTTCTGGATTTACTCTCCTTTTCAATTTTCCCATTTTTGGATGCTCTCCACGCCCTCTAAACAAGCCCGGTGGCTCAATTTTAAAATTACCAATCTTTTCTTTGTGACCATCGATAGTACAAATGCCATATTCCTTTTGAATTTCTTCATTTTTCTCTTTGATAGCTTTTTTCTCTTCTTTTGTCATAGCCTTACGCTCTTCACTTTTCTGAATGAAGTAATTATTGATTTCTGTGAAATTACACTTTCTCAAGTCTGTAATTTTGGCTCTTTCCGAGTCTGTCATAATTTCACGCCAATCGTGAAAAAAGTTATCGTTAAATACTTGTTTCGTTGTATAATCATGGTCTAACATACGAGCATAAAATGTTGCTACTTCTTCGGCATCGTGGCTCAATTTGATTTCTTTGCCATTGTAATAAAATTTAACACTGGAAGGTAAAGGCTCATATTCCGGTGCAAATACTGGTCCTTTATGTTCCAAGAAATGCCATTTGGTTCCATCGTTTTTTTTCTCTTCTTCCCACCTAAATACATTAAGTTTATTTTTAAACATGGGACATGAAAAGGTATGGGAAAAAAATTACATTCTACAATCAAACCTTTTATATTGTTTGACAATTTTATAGTTACTAAGTTTATGTAGTTGACCAAGACTAACGTATCTTACATAAAAACTATTTGAATTAATAATAAGTAAAGCAGTAACATTCATAAGAAATTTGCTCATCTCTGTATCATGCTTTACAGTTGCATGCAGCAATAAAATGGAATAATTTAAGGTTAGGAAAATGAAGGATTAGGTTAGTATATGCGAATTTATCACGTGATCGAATTGACGATACAATTGGATCTTAAAAAAATACTTTACCACTTCCAAACTTCTTGTTCTTCCTCCTTCTTTTTTTTCTTCGGACTTTCGACTTCTACTTTCACAGCTTTTGGCTTTCGTTTTTTCTGTACTTTCTAAATAAAATAAAAAAAATATAAAAAAAAAAAAAAAAAAAAAAAAAAAAAAAAAAAAAAAAAGAGAAAAAAAAAATAAATGAACAAGATTAATTAATTGCACACAATTTACCTTGAATTGAAATAAAATATAATTTACCTCTTCGCGGTCATCATAATCTTCAATTTCACTGATAATCTTCTTTTTCTTCTTTTTCTTAGCTGCCGCAGGTTCTTTTTTTGATTTTTTCCGAGCTGATAAGGGTACGTCATCATCTTCTTCTGAGCTTTCTACTTTTCTTTTAATTCCTGGTGATATTGTCGATCTGTTTGCCTATATTAAAAATATTGAAAAATTTAGTTGAAAAATATTAGGAATATAAGAAAATAAATATGTAAAATCAATCGCAAACTTACTAATGGTATATCTTCATCAATATCTTCATCTTCTTCCATAGACTTAATAGTTGTATTATGCATTTCAGAAAGTCTAGTGTCATTTCCATCGTTTGAATCCATGCTATTTTCTTCCTTAATTTCTTCATCCTCTTCTTTGATGTACAGTCTTTGACTATCGTCTCCACTATCGTAATCTTCTTCCGCTTTTTCATAAGTCTCTTGTTCCTAAATAAAAAAAATTGTATTAAATATATTCTAAATTAAATATATAATCTCGGAAACGGTAAATTACCAATTTAATTTCTTGTTTAATGTCCAGTCCAATAATTGCGTCGGGATCTTCTTTTATTTTAATCTCTTCTTTAATCCTTTCTTTCTTTTCTTTCTCATCGCGATGTTTAGCTAAATGTTAAAGAATGAAATTTAAAGAAATTACTTTTGTCTAATTTTTTGTCAATGGTTTAAAAAATAAATTTTCATATACATTTCTCTTTACTGTGCCGATGTCGATCTTTGTCTTTGTCATGCCGATGTCTATCTTTGTCTTTATCCGAGGAACCATGTTTCTCTTTGTCTTTTTCAGACCGTTGTTTGTCCTTGTCAGACGAATGGGACGTGGAATGGCGATCTTTGTCTTTATCAGAGGAATGCTTCTTCTCCTTATCTTTAGAGCTCTTCTCCTTATCCTTCTCCCGAGAAGAACTTTGAGAGGAACTGTGTCTATCTTTGTGTTTATCTTTGTCCTTACTCCTTTCTTTATCCTTCGAACTGCTGCTGTGGTGCCTTTGAAAACAAATTTTATTTGTAAGTTTAATGATATCTTGCACATAATTTGAATAAGTTAAGAATTGTTGAGAGAGAGAGAGAGAGAGAGAGAGAGAGAGAGTAATACAAGAGGTATAATGTAACTTTAATTACATTCTTCATTCATAGTTTAAGTTTTTGTTTTACAAGAAAAACTTTATATTTAATTTTAATCTTTGATAAATTACTATTATCCTTTGAACAGATAAGTAAGATAGCATCAAATTATTACACACTTGTCTTTAGAGCTTGAACTTGACTTATGATGTTCTTTGTCTTTGCTTCTTTCCTTATCTTTTTCTTTGTCTCGGCTTGAACTGGTTGAGCCCTTGTGTTCTTTATCTCGACTGGATGAACTACTTTTCCTATCCTTATCTTTGTTCTTTTCTTTATCTCTTTCCTTATCCTTGCTATTGCTACTACTACTACTGCTATGCTTTTCTTTGTCCTTTGAAGAACTGGAACTATGTTTATGTCGATCCTTATCTCGATGTTCACTTTTATGGCTCTTTTCTTTATCTTTACTTCTTTCTTTATCCTTGTGTTCAGACTTGTGACTTCGTTCTTTGTCTTTATCTTTGTGTTCAGACTTGTGCTCTTTTTTATGATCGTAACCATTAGTCATACCATTCATTTGAGCATCTAGACAAATTTATAATTTATAATAATACATAATAATATAATATGAGCTCGCTTCAAAATATAAAGTATAACTTTCAAGTAAATAATATAAAGAAATGCGCGACGATATTGAATGATTGATTGCATTGATATTGAATTTGAAATTATGATTTTATAATTGTTATTGAAATAACAACAACAACAACAACAACAACAACAACATGCAGATGTACAAAAATAGTAAATATCATTGGTTAAGTAATTAATTTAAATGGAAATCGTTTGAAGTCTGGCTCTTTGCGTGTAAGAATCATTATGAGAGTCAATGCATTTTTCTTAAGCAAAGAAATCAAACAACGAGAAAAAAATTACAAAAAAAATCAGATTACAAAAAAGAGAGTAAATAAATGGGTAATTCTAATTAAAGGCATTTGTCAGGTCAGTGGGTGAACTATTAAGTTGTTGGTCGAGTCAATCGGTCAATCGATTAGCCAAGCAGTTACATTATACGGAATAAACAGAAAGATAAAAAAGAAGAAATGAGAGAGAGAAAGGTGGCTGCTAAAGTTAATGTAAAAATTAAGGGCTTCGAAGCTGGAGGTCGAAAGTGCCGGGCGTCAGTGCGGTGATATTTAAAAAATTAATCGCTCCTTTTCAACGGGGAGCACGTGTCAAATATACGACCCTACACATCCCCTATCGCCGTCTGATCGCCCTAACTCACTCTCGACGACTTTCGATCTTAAAAATAACAGTCAATCGCAAAGAGGGCAAGTAGTGGAATGGTTCGTTAAGCGATACTCACCTCCATGATTACCCGCGGCACTACTATTCTCCTTGGCTTTCTTCTCCTGCAACGATAAAACAATATAAAGTATTTTTAAAGAGTACCGTGCATTCCCGATGCACAGCGCTTCAAATGCACGTCGTCGTTGGAGCCGTTAGGCAGCAAGTGCCGCGCGCCTCGGCTAAAAGACTCTCGGTCTGGCCGACCGAAGGCCTCGCGCATCACCCATCGGGCACGACTCGATAACCCAGCCGCGGCTGCCGCCGCTTACAAGCGCTTACGTGGGGGACTTAGCCGCAGACGCCATTTTGGGACTTAGAAAAATTTCGCGTCCTCGGCCGCCGGTGGCCGAGAGGCGAAATCGCGACTCCCCCGAGATCTTCCCGTTTCGAGTACGGAAACAATGGCCACTCACCAGGTCGACCTCGGCCCTTGGACAGGGCTCCCCGTGCTCCATTTTTCGCCGCGCTGCGGGTGATAGACTCTGGCGTGAGCCGAGAATGAGAACGGAGCTGCTCTGCGTTCTTGCTCGCTCGCTCGCTCTCTATGTCCCTTGCCCCTACGAACCTCGTCGCGCCCCCGACTTACGACGACGAGGACGACGAGGGCGACGAGGGCGTCGAGGGCGTCGAGGGCGTCGAGGGCGACGAGGACGACAAGGACGACTCTCTCTCTCTCTCTTCCTTTATATATATATATATATGCGCGCATATATTCATATACGTATGCGTATGCATATAATATATATATATATATATATATATATATATATATATATATATATATATATATATATATATATATATATATATGTGTGAGTGTGTGTGTGTGTGTGTGTATAGAGAGATATGCAGTTATATAGTTATATAGATATATGTGTATCTGCCAGGCGCGCACACACGGGCGCGCGTCTTCTTTCCCTCGTCCGTACGTGTGCGCGCGGACGGAGGAGACGATGTCGAGGAGATGGAAATGTCGGGACGATGCACTTTTTACACTTTTTTCCCTCGTCAGCGCGCTTTCAACGGAGCTGCTCTTCGGCTGTCGAGCAGGTCGACCACCTCGGATCGGAGTCCGCCACCGAGAGAGATCAAAGAATACCAAGTCCGAAAGCGCGGCGCGTCCGCGCGACTAAGTGCCGACGCTGCGCTGCCTCTCTCTCTATCCAAGTCTCTCGGCCTGCACTCGTCGACTCGACTCGACTTCGACTCGAAAAACGGCAAAGACCCTCCCGCACATCTATCGGCGAATCATCATCGCGCCAGAGACTAAGTGCCAGAAAAGCCATGGGACGCATGCGCTGGCCGCGACCGCACCGTCCGGCATCCGAGGCCCGAACTCCCGTCCAACCACGGAGCCGCAATAATGCATTATTTATCCGGCGGCCCGTCGATCCCGGTCGGACGGCCCTCCAAGCCCTTCTCCTTATACGAAATGTTCGAGCTGTGTCATCATCTGGAGGGGCTACCGAGGTCTTGTGCGCGAGACCACCAAGGCCCTCTCCTGTACCGACTATTTCCCACGTAAGATTCGCTTCGTTACTTTCGGACGGAGAGGCCGACTCGACGAACTGATCAATCAATGAGAGGTTAATTATGACGCCTGTCATAATCACGCGACCTCGAGCTTTGCATTTTTTGCAAATTAACGATGCTTTTACAATTCTTAGCTTGTGCCGCTTGGGATAATTTTATCACCTTTTATCGGCTACGAATGACGACGATTAGGACGGCAGCGACAGGAGGGGCCGCCTCATTAGGTACAATTTATTTACAGACGACAAAATAATCATGCCATTGTTCTTAATGGGACGAAGCAATTATGAGCATCGAAGAATACTTTTTAAAAATGATTCTTTAGCCATTTTTGCTTTGAAAAATGTCTTCACAAAGCTCGGCTATTTTATTTAATACTCGATATATTTGAGATGGTATGAGAAGGCGCTAACCTATACGCACGCACGCACGCACACGCGCGCGACGCTTGCGCTCATGGGATAAAAAATAAATTTTTTCAAATGATAAGTGTATGTGAATTTGGATTTACAAGTTGAAAGATTCGAAATTATTTATAGTGTATAGTCACAGAAGGTTTGAACGTTAATGTTTAAATGGCATCGTGCAGTTTCGTATAGTTTGTGCAAAACTTCTATATTCTCACGAAAGGTCATAGCCTCCGAGAGCACCCTTACTTTGCAAATGTCGATTGTGATTGTCACCGGTGTTCAAGCTCATCTTCTTTATATCCGTCGTTCAAAAGCTACAGAGACTTATGCATTGTCCTTTCCAGCACGCGCACACATACTTTTAAACATTAAATAAATGAATATTTATCGATTACTTTTATTTTCAAATGCACAAAATATATGAAAAATACCTTGCTTTCTTGTTTGCATATCCAACAAAAATGCATAATCTATTTTTACTTATATAAATAGTCATATCTAATTATAATTAAATGTGGTAATTAAAAATTATACAGGAAACTTAAAAATTATTTGCTCAATGGAGCTTCAATTTATTATTTTGGTCAATCATATATGATACCGAGACTATATTACTCAAAATAGTAATTACATTAGGTATTAGATTGTCTTAATCTATGTATTCTAACATAAATTATTTATACCATAAAAAACAAGCTTACAATATTGATAAATTAATTTAAAATATAAATTGCTTATATGTGTTTTTTATTTTTTTTCTTTCTCTTTACCTAAAATCAAACGATTTTACTTTTGTACGTTTATATCCCTCTCTTTTATACAAATTTCTTGTTAATTAAATTATTGCATGTTATAATATAGTCTGTCTGTCAATTGTCATACGTAAAATGAACTTTTGTAATTTAATTTCTTCTGGTTGTCGGAAATCGAAAAGAAATAATTTCTCTTATGATTTAATCTTTAATAAACTCTGGTTTTCCTT